AGGGAGTAGAGGATAAGTGAGGGAGTAGAGGATAAGTGAGGGAGTAGAGGATAAGTGAGGGAGTAGAGGATAAGTGAGGGAGTAGAGGATAAGTAAGGGAGTAGAGGATAAGTGAGGGAGTAGAGGATAAGTGAGGGAATAGAGGATAAATGAGGGACTAGAGGATAAGTGAGGGAGTAGAGGATAAGTAAGGGAATAGAGGATAAATGAGGGACTAGAGGATAAGTGAGGGAGTAGAGGATAAGTGAGGGAATAGAGGATAAGTGAGGGAATAGAGTGGAATTCAAGCTTTCCCTTCCTTCTTTCCCTTCCCTTCCTTCATTCCACTTATATTTAAATGGAATTTACGCTTTCCCTTCACCACGTTTTACTGAGCCTTCAGCACTCTTAAGTGGGCTACGGCCCTAAGATTGCCATTAGCTATAATGTACTCGAGTGTGAAATTTCACCCTTACGTGTCCCGAAGTTTTCTAAATTCCATTCGACTAAATTTCAAGTCTCCAAATTTTTTTTTGCACTAACTGGCGGAGAATTTTCTCGATTGTGATTATTTATATAGGTGAAGAAATTGTATGGCAAGGCTGAAGTCACACGAGTGTTAGACAAGTTACACAAGTGTACCACGACTGGAAACAGGTCTTACAAGCCATCCGTGCTGGCTCCCAAATTTTGTGTTTGGGTAGCTCCAGCAGCTGGAGGAAGCCTTCAGCTGCTGGAGCTGACTGCGCCGGCAATGCCTACGGTAAAAAATACGGAGGAGCACGGACTGGTTTGAGGCACACTGGGGGGAAATGATGCCGGTGACGGAGAAGAAAAGACAAGCCTTACTGGCCTACAAGGTCAACCCCACACCCAGCACGCTGCAGGCCCTCCGGACCGCCATGGATGAAGCTCAGCAGACCGCTCGACGTTGCGCCAACACGTACTGGAGGAACCTCTGTAGCAGCATTCAGTCAGCTGCCGATGTACGAAGGTATAAAGAGGGCCACAGGACCAACCCCGTCCAAGACCGCTCCACTTAAGTCCAAAACTGGTGAAGTCCTGGCAGATCAGGAGGGCAGATGCGGCGCTGGACCGAGCACTACCTTGAGCTGTACGCAACGTTGAATACAGTAACTGCCACAGCCCTTGACTCAATCCCGGGCCTGCCGATTATGGGGGAATTGGATACCCCTCCTGCTGTG